CGGTTGCATAGCTGCATGAATAAAACAATGATTAATGTTACATTTACACAGCTTCTACAGTAAAATGATAATTGTGGGTTACAGTTACTTAACTCTGTGAATAGAATAAATATTTAAAAGTTCATCGGTTGCATAGCTGCATGAATAAAACAATGATTAATGTTACATTTACACAGCTTCTACAGTAAAATGATAATTGTGGGTTACAGTTACTCGGTGAATAGAATAAATATTATTACGTTTACAACAACAGCCACAGATTTTGATCCTCACATAACCTATGAATGTTCAAAAAAGATGGAAAAATGTAACTTCAAAAGATGGAAATAAAAACAAAACAAAAACAACAAATATCATGTGTGTCAGTTACACAGCTGCAGAAATGTAACAACGATTATGTAGAAAAGATACATATCTTCATGAATGAAAGAATAATTATTTGTGTGAAGTTACTTCGCACCATGAATAGAATAAGCATTATGTGTATCAGATACGTAGCTACATGTGTGTATCTCTTCAGGCAGATCACGCGTGTGAGGTAGAAATGGTAATATGTGATATGTGATATCTTTTTGTTCCATAATGCGAATAATTAATATTTAAATGATAGTGAAGGGTCCGTGTAATTGCATTGCCATGATATTTTGACATGGCTGGTCACGGAATACATTCCCACCAAGGTCAAATGTGTGATACAACCTTGTCAACATGATAACCAACTATGACACATACAGACACATCATTATCAACAATCGACAACAGTAATCTACGTCGCAACCTTTACACAAGGGACAGACTTGCTGATTGACTACAGACTTGCTGATTCCTTCCAATTCGAAATACCAAGGCATAATTCCTTTATATACTACTATTAAAACAATAGTATATGGAGATACTACTTGATACATTTCTGACTTTGTTAATTACTTCTATGTAAATTTTTCAGCAATGACCTGAACGCACAAGTTACTTGCAGATTTCGAACAATTTTTGTAATCTTTTTAAAAAGCAAACAATTCTCAGTTTAATATCAGTATAAATTGCTTGTTGAAGAAAGAGTAAGTTTCAATAGATGAATTTTGACCTATATGTTTGCTTGAAGGTCCAGTCACCAATCACCGAGTACCAGGATCCAGGAAATGTGCCAGGATATGCACAGGTAAGTTAAGTGGTTGTCTATTCTGAAGAACCGGTTAGCTTTAACTATTGAAAGCAGAATATTAAGAGGAAATTGATAAAGACGACAGTAAAACTCAGAAAGAAACGTCGATTCGCGAGAAAATGTCATTCCGTACTTGTGAAATCGCCCGGAAATGTTGTAAAGCGCCTCGGTGAATAGAGATGATCCCAATTGACATCGTTCATCAGGGTTTCCGACTAGTTCGTCACAGCTCTTTTGCTGATATCTTAATAACTTTCCTAGAGATGTCAAATGAAATTGCGCCTAGTTCAAGTTCAATGTCGAGTTCAAGGTTGTGTTATTCAAATCTGCAGCCACGCGTGTCTGGAGTGTGCGGCTCGTTGGTTGGATGGTTGGTTGTGTTTAACGCCGCACTCAGCAATATTTCAGCTGTATGACGGCGGTCTGTAAATAGTCGAGTCTGGACCAGTGATCCACAGTATTTGTATCTACGCAACTGGGATGCAATGATACGTGTCAACCAGTCATTTTATACAAGGACCACGTGTGTCCTTCAAGTCATTAAGGTATCTATTGCCAGACACATCCAAGTTCAAGTACGTCCCCGGGACGACGTATGTGTACGACTACAACGTTCAGACCAAGACGTCCATGGCGGGAGCTTCAAGCGACAAGGCGACTCTTGGTATCCGGGCAACTGCTGACATCGAAGTGCTGTCGAAGTGCGAAATGGCTCTTAAGGTAGGTAGCTCGGGTTGAAGGGGTCGTTGTCGGCACAAATACTACAGGTATGAATCCTGGGTATGAAGATCTGCATTCAGTCCACGGAAACGTACCCCAGCAAATATCAGAAAACAGAACAGTACTCGGTACTTTAACAGCGGTCGAGTCCATATTGCATTTATAGTTTCATCTCGCCTGATTTCGAGTGCATAGTGGATGTTGCTGTGCATCGTGGAAAATAAGAGAACTATATGCACGTCAATGAATATCCTCAGTGTTTATATAGCTCGATGGAATCCCTCCAATACATACCCGTGAAGATCCGGGTTACAATTGGTCTTCAGCAACCCATGCTTGTCGTAAAAGGCAACTAACGGCATCGGGTGGTCAGGCTCGCTGACTTGTTGACACATGTCATCGCATCCCAATTGCGTAGATCGATGCTCATGCTGTTGATCACTGGATTGTCTAGTCCAGAGCTGATTATTTACAGAAAGCCGCCATACAGCCGAAATATTGCTGAGTGCGGCGTTAAACAACAAACAATCCAAACCCTCCAATACATCGGTATGATCTAGAATCTAAAGAAAATCTTTCATGTTCAGGGCCAAGGAACAGGTGCATTTCACAAAACAGAATGTTCACAAAAGCTTTATTTTCTGCAATTATATTTTAGCTTGGTTACGTCTCAGCACACAGAAAGGTACCTTTGGTACATTTCGGTAGTGTTTGTGCCCACAACGATCCCATCGGGGTACACTGTACTTAACAAATATGTATTATAACATGAAACTCATGCAAGAGTTCAAACCATTCATTAAGTAACATAACTGTATGTCAAATCCGCAGCTACACGATGTCAAAGTGTACCGATCTGATCCCTCTCCTTCGAACCGAATGGAAAATGCTGACGAAAGTGGGGAATTCAAGTGGAATCTGGAACGATCTCCACTTCGCTTCTCTTTCCAAGATGGCGTGATAGAGGAACTGTGTCCCGCTGAGGGTGAAACCACGTGGGCCCTCAACATCAAGAGAGGTCTTCTCACTGCTGTCCAGAACAGTATGGACAACCTGGGTAGAGACCAGAGTGTCTTTGAAGTAAATATATAGACCCAATAATAATATGATGCTATTTGAGACAGATTTGGTTACGTAACAGATTCCCATGGCATGAACAGTGTTATATATTACTGATAAAAAGCCCATTTGTAATGTGTGTGAATTTCTGATACGAAAATACTCAAATCTGCATAAAATCAATGTTTGTAACTACCCATTTTCCTTGTTGTATTACCATAAACTTACAACGATAACACCACCAGTCTGTCGCAATGGATTTGCAATTCCACTTACAGAGAGATGTCACCGGAGAATGTCATACTGACTACAAAGTCATTCCAGGATGGTTTTCTACAACAATTAAAAAGGCAAAAGATCTCCTTGGCTGCACTGACCGTAATGACTACCACGGCTCAGTCCATGGCATGCAGTACAGAGTTCCTTCAGAGATCCAGTCTCTGCCCCTCATGAAGAGTACACACGAATGTGAACAGGAACTGGACAAGAATGGACTGCTCAAGAGTGCGCTCATCCGGGAGACCCACACATTCAGGCCCTTCTCTAGAGCCACTAGTGGTGCCACCACCAAAGTCCTTCAGAAACTCAACTACAAGACTGAGAGATCTGGTGTTACCACAAGACAAGGTGATCACGACCCTGGTGTTAGCATCTGCAGAGCAAACAATAGTTAAGATAACTATATATACTCATGCCAATAATGGTTGTCACCCCCTTCAATTTTTTTAATTGGAGAGGGGGTGTGGGGAGTGGGGAGGGGGTGACAACCATTATTGGCATGAGTATATATTACAAATAAATAAGACTTCATGCTAGAAATAACGTGTCTCGATTATCTGCTGAAACCAGTTCCATTAGGTGTTAAAGGCGAATAGTAGAGACAATTGTATCACAATTATAAAGACCTAAAAGCACATCGATTATCAACTTCCAAAATTATTCCCAATGTTTTACAAACGTAATCATGTTCCAGATTACATTCTGAATCAAGCAGGAATAACGTTTGAACATGTCCACGGCCAACAAAACAAAGTCCAACCAATGAGAGATGCTGAGAGTAAACTGCGAGAGCTCTGTCAGAATACACACGATGACATCCGCCCTGACACTCCACGCTTGTTCTCTGAGCTTGTCTACATCATCAAAAAACCTGCGTTTTGATGACATCAAAAGCATCTACGAGCAAGTTAAATCTGGGTCACTCTGCACTGATAACAGCGAGAGAGTTAGTACTCCATTTTATATTTCACAATATTTAAGTGTCCTCATAACTCATACCTCTAGTATTGGGTTGGGTTCGGTGTTAAATAATTTCTATTCTTGCTCGTTTCCAGGAATATTTTCCTGGACTCTATCCCGATGGCCAGCACAAGTGCATCTGTTATGTTCTTGAAAGTCATTCTGCTGAAAAGAGAAGTAACTGGAGCTCAGGCAACCATGTGGATCACATCCTTGTCTCTCATCCACTACCCCACCATGGAGATGTTGCAGGAAGTAAAGGTGAGCTTACAACCACATCAAACTACAATGATGGTATCCCCCCTCAATAAAAGCAATGAAAGAGACCAACTTATATGAGTCATATACCAACTCTGAATCTATGCATTTGTAGGCACTTCTTGACACCCCTCAGTACAGCAAGGCTGCTATGCTTCCAATCTCTACTATGGTCAACAACTATTGCAACCATCATGAAGATTGTTCTGTGGAATCCACAATCACAAATATCATCTCTACTATGGAGAAGACTATCGGTTATGGCTGCTACATCAGAGATTCTAATCTGGAGACGAGTCTTGTGGCCCTTCGTGCTCTCGGAAATGCAGGCCATCTGGACAGACTGACCACTACACTCAGCAGCTGCTTCAACAGACAAGACAACCCCATGGAGATCCGAGTAGCTGCCATCCATGCTTACAGAAGACTACCCTGTACTGCCGATGTAAGTTTTGGAAATGTATACAAAATTTACTCTAGAATAGGACATCTGTTACATTTAGATACCATGATATGTTTGATATCCGTAAAATGTCCAGTACATCCACGTGTTTCATTCCAGAGAAGCAAAGTTATGACCATCTACCAAGATTCCGATGAGGATTCCGAGCTGAGAATTGCAGCCTACTTGGCTGTAATGCAGTGTCCATCTGAAGATGTCTTCAGCAGAATCCAAGGTACTCTCATGTCTGAGAAAGCTAAGCAAGTGGGATCCTTCGTCTGGTCTCATCTTACTAATCTGATGGAAACATCCAGTCCACAGAAGCAGACCATCAGACGGATCTTGGAGGACAAAACCCTTGGAAAAAATTTCGACCTCTCAACACTAAAGTATTCCCGCAACTACGAAGGCTCTCTATTCCTGGAGAAGTACAACACTGGTGCCATGCTCGAGAGTAATGTCATCTTTTCAGATAAGTCTGCCCTTCCTCGTTCTGCAATGTTCAACATGACAGTTGATCTCTTCGGTAGCTCTCTCAATCTCTTTGAAGTGGGTGGACGTGTGGAAGGCGTGGAGTATTTGATTGAAAAATACTTCAGCAAATATACCTTCTTCAGAGATTGGCTGCCGAAAAATGATGTGGTAAGTATATGATAAGTATAGCTGTAGATTACATTATGACAATTACAATGTCTGATTATATAATTCATCGCAAATTGTTGCTGGTATGAAACTGAATGCTAATTCCCTCTATTCCTCACTCTCTCGCTATTTATTTGTTTTTGTAGGTTTCCGACAATGTTTCTGACTTGAAACTTGATATGTACATGAAGATCTTTGGGAATGAAATGTACTATGGCCATTACAAAGGCGTAGATCCCATTGCTTCTGTCAAGAACTTCAACTTACTGGACTTCCTTATCAAGATGTCCAAGAAGCAGGATTACTCCTTCACTCAGAGTATGATGATCCTGGACAGTAGCATGATTATCCCTACCAGCTCCGGTCTCCCCCTGACTCTCAACGTGAACGGAACAGCCAGCATTGATCTTCAGGCATCTGGTCAAGTTGATCTTCGAAACATTTTGACTTCGCCACGGAGTCTCCTCATTGATGGAATCATGAAGCCAAGGTACTTGATGGCTGAGATTTTGTTTCTTGCAAATGTGTGTTAAACTAGTTTTACATAACTTTTGCACTTATTATATGTTTTGACGATTTTTTCCAGTGGATCTATTAAGATTACAGGCACTATGAGCATGGATGCCTTTGTCACCAAAACCGGCCTTAGAGTTGTCAACACCTGGCATTCCAGCACTGCACTAAAAGGGCGTGTAGAACTCAGACGTGGAAAGATTCTTAGTGCAGACATTGATCTCCCACAGCAGAAAATGGAAATCCTGGATGTGAGGTAGTAACATCTATTACATGAAGAAGATAACAGAACATATCACTCATTATCTCATGTGTTTCATAAACATTTAAACATATTTTTTATTTTTCCTTTTCAGAGGATTGTCAGTTTTCTGGTCATTAGTATGGTGCTGAGAACGGTGTTATTACTGTAGAGAACAAAACCTGCCGTTGTCATAATAGTTTCTTAGTATACTCTGAAAACCATTAATATCAATATAAATATTGTTTGACACCTGAAAACATTTCATATAAATTATTACATTTCCTCTTTGTTCATTGAAGGATATTGAATGATTTTTTAATATGCTAATCATACATGAATCGTTCAGTCATTCAAAATATAATTTTATTGTTATCTACAGATTAAGATTTTCGTTTATATTCTACAGCACAGAATTCTTCAGCATTCATGGTGATCAGGAGCAAAAACAAGACTTGGTCACAGGAAACAGAAAGAAGCTGGAACTGTGCACAGGAGCCAGACTTGCCACCATGACTGGTCTTGAGCTCTGTAATGAATTCCAGTGGCCTAGTACTTCCATGGTAGATGATGCTCCATATTTCCCCTTCACAGGGCCCTTCTCTCAAAGCCTTGTTCTTCACAAGAGGGACACACACACTGGCTACAAACTCATGGCTAAACAATCAGGGGTAGGTAATCTCTCGGTATTGATCTACATTCTATATTTCAATGAAGGCATCACAAACAAATGATATACGTCTAAAAAAACTGCATGAACCAACAATGGATGTTGGGGACTCAAAGATAATAGGTGGATAATTTTTTATCTTATTTGATATGCTAAATTGTCCGTTCGTATTGGATGTTTACAGAATAAGCAGAACACGTTTGTGCAATTCAACCTGAACACACCTGGATCCAGAACTGACCGCACCATTGACGTTCGGTTTACTTTAAAGAGGAAAACCAAAGAATTTATGATGGAAGCATTCACCCCCTGGAAAAAAGCTACCCTTAAAGGCACTTTGATTTTTACATCAAACAATATTATTAATTGCATCATGTCTTTGAAGAAAATCCTGAATTTTTCTTAATGTGCTATGAACATACAAGATGACGTTAATCTCCATCTACTTTGCCATAGTTACAAATAATACAAATGTTGACGTGAAAAGGTTTGAGTGTATAGTACTATACCACAGGTTCAATGACCTCTGAGATGAAACATATTGGCCTGAAAGGCTAGTTAACTGTTGATTAATCATCGGAATATATTGTCAGAATATATTATAAGCAGTTTGTTTGTTACATCAAATAATATTGTTAAATATACCATGATTTAGCATAGATTTCAATAGTCCTGATTTTGACCCAACCCCCCCCACAAAACAAACACCCCCACCCCATAAAGAAACCCACCCAATTTCTCAGTGTGCTATGAACATACAGGATGTCGTTAATCTTCATCGTCTTTGACAATTAAATACAAATAATGACGTGAATTAGATTGAATTTATGGTTATCATCTATGTAATATTCCACAGGTTCAATGATATCTGAGAAGAAAAATATTGGCTTGAAAGGCCAGTTAACTGTTGACAAATCATCAGAATATATTGTCATCGGTGAAGTTGGCATAAAGAGAAAAAAGACAACTGTAACCTACATGCCCCGACTAGAGATCAGGCGTCCAAGAGCAAAGGTCATCCAACTGACTGGAACAGTAGAGACTGAAGTAAACAAGAAAGTCAGTGTTGAGTTAACGCTTAAAGGATTAACAACAGAAGCCGTGAGCTTGAAATGCAAGTAGAATCTTTACCATTACATTTCAATACAAAACACAACAAACAGCCCCGCACCCTCCACCCACGCCAATAATCAGCCAAATAGAATAAATAAAAAATACCAAAGCACTACACTTGAACTTACAACATACAACATACATTCGGTCGTGATGTATTATCTTCCTGTTCTAAAGGATACAATCTCCTACTACAACGAGGCTTAGTCATACATAAATTTCATTTTGCAGCCTATTTGATGAACTCTAAAACTGAGAGGAGTCTAAAGGGTACCTTGAGTCTCGCCCCAGAGGAGGAGTACGTTCTAGAGGCCGGTTATGTGTACCAGGAGACTGGCAAGAAGAAGCCAATCATCAAGGTCATCCCGACATTAACGATGAAGACCCCAAAACGTGAGCTGGTCTCACTCAAGGGGGAATGGGAATATAAGGAGAGCAAATCACTTCAGGGAAGCGTCACTTTCGATGTTCACAAACTTCTTAACAAGCCAATTACATTTCAATGTAAGTATTATGGCCACTTGTCAAATCATTTTAAGTATGTTGTAATTATTTACATATCAGAACATAAAACGTTACTATAAATATTATGCATCGTAGATGGTTATATGGGATATTCAGCAGTGCCACGAAAACAGGTGACGCATGAATTTGTATTAAATACAACAGGAACATTTAATGGTGTTTTGAATCTGCTTCATCGTACAGATACAAGACAAACTACGTAATATATGCCTTCCTAATATGTAAACACGATGTATATACTTACAGACAAATTTGTAGAAGTGTAAAATGAGATTTTTTAAACAGGTGATATGTACCAAATATCTAGTAAAAAGACAAAACACTCGGCAAAGGTTATTGTCAGATCTGAGTTCCTGGATGCCAAAGTCATTGGCAATGTGGAAAGTACGAAGAAAACAGTTAACCCCACAGTCACCGTGGAGTACACACTTCCCGAAGCCTACAGAAGCTGGAACAACAAGCATACAATCAGGTCAAAGCTGACAGATCACAAGACGAAAACACACTTAAAGTCAAAGTTCCAAATGTAAGTGAAAGCCTAGAAATACTTTCCAACTAACTCATTGAGAATGTCCTGAAATTTGTCCGCTGTTGTCCAAAATTGTAAATATTTCTTTTGACAAACGAAAATTAGGCTGAACGTATAAAATAGTTTGTGCCATATGTCTATTCGACTAGTCTGTTCTGTATGACAAACATAGTGTAATCTCAAATGGAATGGTACCTGTGAAGATCCGGGTTAGAATATTGATCATCAGTTACCCATGCTTGTCGTAAGAGGCGACTAAAAGGGATCCGGTGGTCAGGCTTGCTGACTTGTTTGACACATGTCATCGGTTAACAATTGCGCGGATCGATGCTCATGCTGTTCATCACTGGAATGTCTGGTCCAGACTCGATTATTTACAGACCGCCGTCATATAGCTGGACTATTGCTGAGTGCGGCGTAAAACTAAACACACTCACTCAAATGGAATGGATGTTCAAAATCGATGGTGGTGCATTGGTCGAAATATAAATCACTTGTTTTTCTAGGCCAGACAGGAATATTTACACGCCAGCAAGAGCTATGGCTTGAACACATGTGGGAATTGTGTTACAAAGACAAAATGTTATATACACATGTTCCATGCTACAAATACTTTGCCTGAAAAGCTCAACTGCTATGTTTTTTTCTGACACAGGGACTATAAAAACCAGGAGCGCCCGCATCTGAACGTGTTTCTGAAAGGTGACGTTTCCCACAGCACGAGGCATACCAAAGCAGATGTCACAATAAAGTATGGGGTCAAGGTTGGACACCCTGCAAGACACATCACAGGATCCGCTTCGATAGATCACCATATGAACAAACGGGCAGTCAATGTCAAATACAAACTGAAGACTGAGATTGGTCCAATGGTAAGACATCTTATGGTTGATCAACGGTTATTACAGTTAGCCAGTTAATTAAAGTCGATTGGATAAAACTAATAGATGGACACTTAGACTGAAATTGTGCTGTTTCGTACATTCTTGTGAGAAAAATATCGTCAAATTGTTCGAATCTAGGAATATTCTTATATCACAAGACCCTTAAAAGAATCTTCAGAATTATTCTCCAATGTATTTCTTTTTCTATGGTCGTAATGACTTGCGTGGTATCAGTTGAGGTAAGGTCGGGCTGTGAGTGTAAATGTGGACAGTTCCCTGTCTATCGGGTATCAGAGGCTTAAGGGACATATATCTGAAGGCGTCACGGGCATACCCTTCATGCATAGTTAAAACCCCTAGACATCACATCTGTTTCAAATACAGTACATATTAAAAGCGAAAATACAAATTACATTTGTGCTCGTTTAAGCAAAATATATTTTTTTAAATGTGGCTTTTTGAAGACAATGAAGTTGTACAAAAGTAAATTTCATTTCAGGATGTCAGTTTCGACATTCAAGGTAAATATAATGGAAACTCGCGCACAATAGGATCAGAACTCGCTGCAAACTACAAGAAACTTACAGTATCTACTTCAGTTGAGTGTCGGGTCACCACAAACACAAAAGAGACCACAGCAGTTGTTGAAATCAAGACACCCCTTCACCAACTTAGATTTCTAAATGCTGAAGTAAGCCTAGATCATGATACGAAGGTGGCTTCTTTAGTTGGATCATTTTCTTCGGGATCAAACGGAAATCGGATGTCCTATGCAATCGATTTTAAGATGCCATCGAATACTCATAACGGGTTGGCATTGTCTGCTGTCGGAGTATTGTCATCTCCTTCCAACAGTGACAGGAAGTTTGAATTGCATTTTCACCATGTTGGGGGTATTGTCAATTTTAAGACAAATGCAAGCCTGACATATGCTAAGAGTAAAAATATAAAAGGAGCTATTTCATTCTTATACAATGACCTGGCTCATGTCGAATTTGAGGGCGATATCACAACACCTTTTGAAGGATTTGAAAACAACACTGTAAAGTATCAACATTCGTTTAGTAAATCTGAAGCTGATTTGACTGCTGAAATCACAAATGGTTTCAGCAAAAGGGCTACATGTATGTTCAGCTTCAGTCTTGCCAGCTCTGCAAACGGCAGACTAGCAATGTCACTGAAGACTCCATCAAGAAACAACGTAGTGTCGTTCACCTATACCGGCCCTCTAAAGAACTGTGAAGGCAAAACTGAAATCCAAGTGCTTGGCTATACTCATTCAGTGCATATTGTCTACATACATGGACAGAAAATTAAAGTTGCATTAACATCTAATAACAAGAGTATGCAGGTACTTAAAGTGCTTTTCAACTTTGAAGTAACACCAACAATGCTGAATACCAGTGCTTTATACACATTCGAAGGTTCCACCTTTGAAGGTATGGTTGTTGGCGTCAAAGAGGGAGACAGAAGCAAAATGGTTTTGAAATTAAGAACACCGTTCCAAAATTTTCGTGAAACAGGACTTTGGTTCCAATATACTAAACGTTGGAGGAATGACTATGCAGCCCTCCGTTACATGGATGGCAGAGAAATAACATTGAATATCACTAAAAACAGAAAATACGGATCATCTGGTTCCAATTTTCGGTCCTCGGAGTTTATTTTAATAGAACTTAGGACTCCATTTAAAAAATTTGAAATATTTTCATTTAGGTTTGATGGACTTCTTATGCATGGTAAATTATATGGAAATACTACATTAATGTATGGAAACCACCAGAAAATTACCATAGACTCTATTGGGATTGAAAAAGATCCAGTTGGCCCTTCGATGACATTTCTGGTGAAAACACCATTTGAAAAGTGTAAAACAAGCAAGGTTGTATTTAGTGGTCATAGAACAGGGTCATATTTTAATGGAAAATTGTACATTGGTATTGATGAAATGATAATTACACTGTATGCTACCATTAAAAGGAGCTACAAAGTGGGGAACATGACCTTGCACACCAATTTCCATGGTTATGAAGTAATGGAAGGAACCTATAACATTTCAGACAGTAATCGCGTATTTAACGCCACAAGTACGTTTAGCATACATAATGAAACACTGGGGACTGAATTTGTAATTGACAATAGGGATGGAGTTCACTCACATCTGACAATTTGGACACCTGCTGAGAACTTCACAAACATTGGGTTTACATTGGGTTATGGCATTGAAAGAAGAAATGATAAAGTGTATGAACTTAATATTCGCTACACAGACAACGAAGTCATTACTTTTAGAATTACTGCCTTTCCACGCATACATGGAAACGAATCATGGAAAGTGGAACTAATAACACCAATTACTGGTTATGAGAAGCAACACTTTCTCTTTACAGGTCGTTCTCAGGGTCGCAAAACTTTTAACTTTAGTATAACACTCGTAACTAGTCAAGGGGAGCAACTGACTCTAAGTTCGGATTGTGTTTTGTATTCATTTCTTGACATAGATTTATTTTACAAATCTAAAGAAATTGATGGCCGAGATCTTGTAAAACTTTCTTTTAGAAGTTCGTATGTACAAAATGTTACACTCAAAGTTGAGACAAAAGTGCCTTTGGTAGTGCTTGGAAATTGTGTTTTAGATTACCATCACTTTATTGATGATGGAAGTATTAAGGGTGCTCTGATGTTAGAAAGAAATGGGACCAAATACATTGCTACCAACGTTAATGGTATAGTCAACACAAACAAATTTCATGGAAGTGTAAGCATTAACTCAGATGTTTATGATTTTCGCAACATTACGGTTGTGCTCTCAAAAGAAGGAGCCTTAAAAAACCTGAGAGCTAAATGTTTAATACTGGTTGATGAATCGACATATGACACATCACTTACACATGTATACATTCCTGGAAAACTACGAAATGTTAGCGGGGAAATGATTCTCAACTGGGACAGAAACAATCCTGATAGCAACCTTCAAGTCCAAGCAAAGCTAACTGACAAGAGCAGACAGTCACTGCTAAACAAAGACGTGACATTGAAGTTTATTCATCCCACTCGCACTGGTGGTATCACTGGAAATGTCCTCAGTTCACAGCGCCAAAAAAAGAGTCGTGGAGAATTCATCTGGAATGAAGATGCAGGACACAAACTTTTCTATGATGTGGATGTTAAGGGCCGTAACCGCCGTTACAGCAAGATGTATGATGGCACCTTTAAAGTAGGATCCCCACTCAGAAGTCTCCAAATGGATGGGTCTTACAGTCAGACACGTGCAAGCAAAACCCTTGATGGAGCCTTCTCCTGGGATGCAGACAGAGATGATACAAAGAAGATTGGCATGAAAGCTGTCTTCACCCCCAGTGACAAGAACAAGCAGACTGGTCTCTCTCTGAGATTTCCTTCTATTGGCAAGGTAGGAACAAAACGCATTACTTCCTTTGGACTTGTCACACACACATGATCCTTTATTCCCCTTACTAATAAAAAAATGTCATGTTGAACACTGCACATAATGTCCTATGTCCACAATCATATTGAATTTATCGTATTGTATGTGTTGCTTATAATCTTCAGAACATCAAGGTCGACACGGGATTGCTGCTAAATGATGGCAGGACTGTCTTCAATGGAAAAACACTACTATCCTACACCGACGACGACCGGAAAACGATTACCCTCACATGTAGCGTGGGTGACATTTCCTCTGGCTACGGTGACACCAGGTACAGTCTTGTGGTTGGCATAAGCCACCCATATACAGATGTGGACGTCAAACTTACATCCCACATCGGCAGCTCCAGCGAGCAGGTATCTGCTGGAATAGAAATGATCTACCTGACAGCCAGGAGGGAGACAAAGAACTTTGCACTCAAAGGACAGTTCGATACGGGAATGCAAATGTTAAAGCTTAAAGTGAGTACTGTATGTTCGTTCTTGGTCTATTGTTTATAAAAAAATAAACGAAATGATGACTCTTGTTCATATATTTATATACTGAACTACTTTGGAAACGCATCACGGGAATATAACAAATAAATGGAGAAACTGAAACTGTCCATCATGATGGAAACACAAGAAAAAGCAAAAGCAATCATTCATCGTTTAGTGCAACCATAACTCAACGTCGATAACATTGACGGGGTCCCAACTTAAATTCACACGCGCTCAAAACCTTAACACAGTCAATGACATTAACGGGTATGACCATCACTTGCGTCGAATGTTGTTTTGCTGAAGGAAGTTCATGCTGTTTTTAGCAGTACGGGGTCGTGCACTATCCTGTTGAAAATGTACTAGGCTACCCCACCGCCCCTGACGATTTTGAATTGTGACAATTCAACCTTCTGGACACTTTACCTGCAGACAAACCTGTCTCAAGTAACCAAACAGCTCTATTTCTCTCAACAGCTCATAAACGTGGCATTATGGAAAGTCAACAATTTAGTGCTGTTAAAAATTTCGGTGTTAGTTTGGTATACAGTTGAATGATCTGTCTGTGTGTTGTGGAAACGTCAATACGTATGCATTTTCACGCGATTTTCAGCAAATGGTGGGCCACGTGATCACACAATGATGCACTTGCTTCTCGGTGTGCATCCTGTTTATCTTCCATAGCCAGATTACATCAAGCACAGTTTATATTCAAAATTCGTTTTGCATTCTCCATGATAAGAAGGGTGTGTGTTTCTAATGTAGTTCAGTATAGAAACTGAAAGGAATACACAACTGTAAAGAACCACTGTTGCTATATAAGATGCACTTGAATAAATACGCACAGGTACATGTAATGCTTGTAATACAAGGTTTGTTGCAGATGCAATGCCCAATTAAGGATCTGGAAGCCTCTGCTGAAATGGGAGAGAATCCTTTCAAAGTAGTGATCAACAACAGGACACTGAGCACTATATTGTCATCTTGGAAGGCGGTGGAGTTTGCAACACGTTTTGACCTAGGTGATAAGTATTTATTTCTAGAATACATGTACCTACAATCTGATTCGTAAGATCACGTCCAATAGTTACATGTGTATGCGTGCAAATATTTAACTGCTTGCCAATGAGTTGTATAATTAACCTCATGCTCTCATTCACTCTTAACATAACATGAATGAACAGATAACCCCGGAGATATGCTTCACGTGAATGCCAGATACATCAACTCAAGTGCCATGCAGACTGAGGTTTATCACCAGGAGAATTCCCATCGTATATCTGACAGTCTTGTTGCTCTCAGACTCAACAAATCCCGTCTTCTCCATACCAGGATATCCTGGAGGCCACAGATGATCGCTGATGTTCAGGTACCTAATACTCACGAAAGCTTTAAAGTGGTGAAAGTTACATACTGAAAGTTACATACATGCAAATTCATCATATCGCCAAATATGCTTTTTGATTTATAGGCGTACTTGACTAGGAAGGTGGAGAGGTACGGACAAAATGCAAAGGCCACTTTGGACTCTTTGTACAAGTCTGTGGGCGAGGAATTGTCAGGCAAATACCACCAGATTGCACAAGCCGCCAAGGAAGAACTGCCTCCCTATCTAAGACTGTTTGTGTCAGAAATGATTATCATAGAGAAGCAACTGGACTCTGTCAGGACGGATATCAGGAGCATGTACAAACGCAATGACTTCTATCTGGCCGACATAGGAGACTATCCTGAATCGGCAGAGTAAGTATATAAGCAATGTAGAATTTCACTCAGAATTGACATTTAATGTTTCGAAATCTGTTCTTTTATCTCTGTAGGAATTGTAGGTAGGAACAGGCCCCCATCGACCTGTGCTCGTTGTAAGGGTCGACCAATATGGATCTGATGTTCAAGCTCAGCGACTCGATCGTTTGTACACGGAGGGTCGGTTGTTCACAACATTGACCACTGGAATATCTGGCCCGGATTCGGTCATCACAGGTCTCTGATGTATATTGCCGTGTGCCCGAAAACCCCCCAAAGAAACCAACATGTTTTTGTCGTTTGCAGGAAGCTATACAAACATCTTGTGAAGACTATTTTGGGAAGATTAATTCGAGGCAGTACATCTATGAGAGAACATCTACAGAATGCCAACGACTTGAACGTGAAAGAGATCTATGATGACCTGCTGTATGACTGGGTTGTCCTTGCAAAGGTATCCTGCACTAATGTGTTTGTGCAACGTCATAAACACTGTCTTTCATCAATTGAATTCAAATAACATCATTGTGGCACATAGTAATCATTTATATTGGTTCAAACAGTCCCGACCATATAACCTCGCGTTGTAAATTGATTTTAGAATTGATATCTTTGTCAAGGATATAATGTGAATTTTCGAAGGTGGATTGGAAAGCAACTTTACTATTGAACGTCAACTAATCTGCCCTAATATATTATGGTAAACTTGGTGTCTTGGGATGATTTGAGTTTAGGCTCATAAAAGGTCTCGACGTAAGGGGTTATTACATATACTTAATTGATTTTGTCCGTTAAATACCCAGTGTGCGCCTTGATCCGCGTATCTTCAAAATTATAGTGTAAAATGTCAAACTATTAACACTATTCAACGCCCTTTTCTTTTTTGTCCTAAAATGCACTATATGTGATTTTGCCTTTTTCAGGAGGAAGTAGACACAGCAGTAAATGATGTCGTAGAGATGATCTCAAGGTTGGATGACATGATCGAGAAAATGTGGGACGCCTATCAGCACCATTATAACATTGTACAGACAAAAGCTACTGGTAAAAATCATACAATACTGTCATAGTCCGACATCCATTGGTGACCTAACAGGTCTTTGTTTTGGATACCAAGCGCCTTCAAGAGTAGGTTTATCCATCCTTCATTGTTTGATGTTAAATCAGATATGGTGAAAGTTAGGAGTAGGTGGCGCGGACGATGATGTCAAAACAAGACGCCTTTGTCCGATGTTGGAATTGATCTCAGAGGAACAGAAAACCATTATCCAAAATTATCCTCTTGGATTTAAAAAGCAACCAATGTTGGGTAAGGGGCACCATACTGCAGAGCGGGTTGCAGCCGCTACAGGTGATTTGGAAACTGCAACCTGCACGCTGCAATAGCCGTCTTCTTCTTAATGTAGAAAGATTATATTCATACCTGAAACGGTATTGACTGACAAACATCTGTATGTATATTTATAGCGACAGTTGACACAATCTTGGACCTTCCAAACATCGTAGATAGAAAGCTCGAGATATCTAATTCCATATCTCCATACATGCACCGTCTCGCCAGAACTACATTCAGGACGTATGACAGCTTCAAGGACATGCTCATGAATTCGGGTGACATGATTAGTTCACATCTGATTGATGCTGAACAACGAAGCGACCTACAGATGCTGGTCTCTATTACAAACAATATATATGAAGAAGTAAGTCTATTTTTATGATTATTAAAGGATAGCAAAGATGTCAGTTAAAAGGGTGTTGTTCATGTTCAGTATCCTTCAGAACAAACAACATGATATTATCTTTTGCTTAATGTTTTTGGATGTGTGGTCCAGATTCACTACTGGGTTGTATAATATACATTTTGCCTTACTGATATTGTTTGCGTTATACAAAGGGCGGAACCATCCTAGAGGAACATCTGCAGAAGATCCCGGACCTCGTCAAGCGGGAGGTGAAGAACTACACGCGTGATGCTCTCACAATGTATGGCCCCAAGATCACTGTCTGGGACCCAGAACATGGAGAGATCCAGATGGAATTAAGCCTACCAATATCCCTTCGTTCTCTGGACACATTACCCGATGTCCAGCCATATGTCCAGAAGGCAAAAACAGCGGTCAACAAGTACATCCCAGATAAGACATCGCTCAAGAAATTGTACAAGAAGGTATGTTCAGTTATTGATGCTGTTCTATAAAAAGGTGGATAGGGCGGCTGATTGGGGGTGAGTGGGGGCATGTGGTTCGTATGTGTTCAAAGATGCATCATCCTAAAAGCGACTGAAACATTCGCGCACAAGTCGCCCAGGATTCCTCTGGACCTGTGAAGATCCGGGTTAGAATTGGTCTTCAACAACCCATGCTTGTCGTAAGAGGCAACTGACGGATCGGGTTTTTAGACTCGCCGACATGGTCATCGTAGATTGATGCTGATGATGCCGATCCGATCACTGGATTGCCTGATCTAGACTCAAGTATTTACAGACAGCCGCCATATAGCTGGAATATTGCTGAGTGCGGCGTTAAGCAACAACCAATCAAATAACTCTTAGTAGAAAGGATGCTGTCTGGACGTCAAGGTGCCAAATGCGTGACTGCTGTCGGTCAAGATCGAGACATAAGTCTGCTGCATTTGTGTAATAGTGTTTAATTTTAGATTTAATAATGTTTCAAAGTACGCACACCCACCCACCCACTATTGCTTATTAGCCTTGAACGTCTCGATTTAGATTGCTGTACATTAATGTAATGTTTTGCAATGTCCTTCACTCTCTCTCTACTATAACTTATACGTTACTGTATTTACAACTTCATTTTAGTGCCGAATGTTATTGTACAAGATGTTGGTAATACCTACTTTATACACCATTTTCAGTATTCAGCGTGGCGGTCTAACAAGACGAAAGGAGCTTGAACGTTTTGTGTAAGTATATTGCGTATATGTGAGAGAAGCTGAGTGAGGTCACTACACATTCAGTTTCAAAGCTGAAGTCGTTAATTATTGGGCTAAGTCTGTAGTATTTCAATGTATATGACCATAATTTGATTTCTTTTTTTTATATAATTATCGAGTAAAGGGACAATTTCTGAAACACTTTGTGAGACAATTTGATCGTTTAGTTGGACGAGAATGTGACGTGGAAGTCATATTGTGACACAGGTCTACTCACGTGACACTCAAACAACAAATTGTTGAACCTGTTCGTTCAGTCCAAAGCATGATGTTTTTTATGTTAAAGATTTGTTCGAGATTCAACAGTGATATTTGTTTATATTTCAGGTCAGTGGTCAACTGAACGATTTCTGACTGAAACCTATTAATATGCTTATTGCCCTAAGCAGCTGTTCAAAATGAACTATATATATTGCAATTATTATTAAAATTCTGACTTCTAGACAAGCCTGTGCAAAATACCCAATACAAATCCAAAACAACTACCGTATCCGGAGGTTTACTGACTATATCAAAAGCGTGTATTTCAAATCAGAATAAATTATTGATGACATCAGGGGTTCGCGACAAGATATATGCATGAATAATTCATCTTTCATGCATATCCTTTCGGTTTTTTTATTCTCTTTAATCTGGAACAATTGCGAGCGTGTCAACTTAGAGACTGAGAGATAATGTTTATTACCTGCACTAGACGTGTACAAACACCTCTTGAGAGATCGAGGGATTTTAATTGCAGCATGCTTTAATGATTTGAACCTTGGCATAGATGTCCTGAATGAATATACGCAATAATATGCAATATTTGCTTTTATTGCCATTCATATGTATTTTGTTTACTGCAAATATTCTGTAATGCTTATTATATAGTATTTTATGTTATAAATGCTTAGCACGATTAACAAGATTCAAAGTATATTTTTGTTGCTGAAACCTATCATGCTAAATACCAAAATCAGATTTTTAAAGTACATTGCAGTTATTATCATTCTTATTAGCTCTAGACAAGCCTGTCGTCTATAATTCATTATCTTTGTTAGAATGTGGATGAATTGTATAGCACAACATTATGAAAGAAATAATAAAAAAGCTTTTCATGATTTCCCATGTACGATTCCGACTTTATCATAAGCATGTGTTTACAAGCACTATCAAATTGTTACGGAGACAGGTGTAATATGTAATGTAATAAAGGCTTATCACTCTTGACAAGATTTAACGCATGTTTTAAGAATCAAACGTTTACACTTTACAAAGCATCAACCATGCAACTAATGCAGTTATGCGGTTACTGATGCAAGCATCAAGAATTAAAGTCAGATGTATGCGGGATCCTTATATGGTGAATAGTTGTAGTGTACAGTCAGTTCTGAAGCATTCTGTGAGTCATTCCATGAACGATTTTCCGTAGTTTGTATTGTGGTTCCGGGATTCATCATCATGTTATGTCACCGTGTCGCCTTTAGGCATCCATGTATGTACATGCTCGTCACAATGTCGCTGTGCACATTTCCTTAATAAGGACAATACAGAAGTCCTGACAATGTACGCCCACGTCTTTATAATCGTGATTTAAGGACGTTGTTGGGTGCATAGTAGACTAATGCTTAGTCTCTGAATATATATAATTTTGATAGTAACAAACAAGCCCATTTAAATTCAAAATGAGCCCTGGGGAGACCAGAGATTCAGAACCTGAGGAAATCTAGACTTGCTTTATTTAGGGCTTTAGCACTGCAGAGAGGGCTAGGCAGTAGGGAAGATAATGTGGTTCAGGGACTGTGAGACAGACTAGGTGCATAGGTTGCCCGGTCGTCCAAAACTTGGCTGTTTAACTGCAGAGTTGTGTCCCTTTGGTGTCCCAGAATCCGATGGTCGTGGGTTTCTCGGACACGTTATGGTTTTGTGAGCACAAAACGGGTGCTTGTCTGTACATGTGGCTCACCTGTAAAACATGCATCACTGTTGACGTTTCTGTCATGTAATATTGGAATTATATGATGCGATTGGAATTCAGCATAAACCGGGAGTTATAGCCAATTCATTGAAATATAAATTATAGATTCATGCACCATTTCCTTGTCAAATATACGCAGAGAGCTATTATAGAACAGAACCGATGAGAATACTGGATGGATCAAGCAGATCGCACATAGTCATTACATTCATTTAAACCCTTTTTCGCAGAACGTTTAAGAGTGTAAGTAGCGTGTAGCCGGTATCAGCTATTTGTCCCAATGCCAACTCGCTTCCGAAACCCCATATATAGTTCTCGGCCACTTAGCGAGTGATTTTATATCCGCTTGTGTTCACATGAAATATTGATGGTTTGTACTCGTACTCTTGCTGTCATGTTTTTTCAGAGTAGAGTTACCTCCCATCCCTTTATGCAATATGGTCGTGACGCCACACTTGATAAGGGTTGACTTCCGCCTGGATTCTAACTGCAAATTGAATGCGTGTTCCAACAATGTGACCTCGTAAAAGCGAATTCCATGTGTTCCTGTAGACTATGTTAATCCATTGTACTCGCCATTTGTTGTCTCTAATTACGGATGGACACATTTATAATGGTCAATGGCTTTCACTCTGATACAAGTAACACATATAGATTGTCTGGTGCAGACTCGATTATTTGCAGACCGCCGTCACACAGTTGCAAGCAAAGAAGCAATACACGTATACCACAATATAAACTCGGAGTCAAACAGCCGTGGCATTATGTCTATCTTCTTTCTATTTCGTTTCTCTACTATACCAAACGATGAGTTCATTGCATGAGGAAAGACTACATTGCCACTTTCAACAGTATGTCAGTCATATTTTACTTAGAGAAAGACCGCCTCCGTGTTGTAGTGGTTAGAGCGTCCGCCCGGAGTGCGGAAGGTCGCGGGTTCGATCCCCGACCGCGTCATACCAAAAGACGTTAAAATATGGTACTTGTTGGTTCCTGCCTGGCGCTCGGCATTAATGGGTACAACAAGGACTGGTCGGCTCGGAGTCAGTATAATGTGTCTGAGTGGGGTATTCATGCTTCACTGCGGCATGGTATCTCAGTGGGCTAGCACTATAAAACCAGCTTAAGTCTGGGCTAGTACAAGCAGCCGCACATACACATACACACGCATGCACGTCGTCATATGAGCGAAATATTCTCAAGCACGACGTTAAACCCAATTCCACCACCACCACCACTTAGAGAAAACTCACTTTTGATACCGGGAATAGACGTGTTCAGGAAAAGAGATATTTGGGATGTGTCGAAGAGACTTCAAAATAAAATATGCAATCATTTGGAAGTTGAATTAATGCTGTTTAACCAGCGTCATTTTACGCAATTGATTTATGCATCCTTAATTAAACTGTGTTCCACAGGAGATATTGCTTGTGTGAGATCAAACGATATCTCCTAGGAGATATCGTTTTGACAGTATAGTTTGTACAATGCCCTGACGTCACCATTTACATGACTCACAATGCTGAGATGTCAAAAACCTGATGGCGTCAGAATGCTATGAAATCGCTGCACTCTAACTCTAATGGCAGTACAGTGTTCAGAAATGTACATTTTTCATTGAAATCTAATGAAAAGTGATTTTTATATTATAAATAGAATCTCACCCTCGTGTCTTCTGATATCAAATATATCAACACTCGTTGATAAAAGTAAAATACTGTAACTTTATCAACTGGTGATATATTTGATATCAAAAGACACTCGGGTGAGATTCTTAATATCTCACACACCTTGCCAAGGACAATGTTCAAAGTCGAAAGTATTCAATTCAGTTAAGCACAGAACTACATTTATCCTAAAGAAATGTAGAAATACCCCTATATTTCTCACAATAAATGTGAAAGTCAACGTGGATGAAAAGATAAACCACATGTAATGGTTTTGCTTACAGTTTTCATCAGTTGTGAAACGTGCTTCACTTCATTGTCCTGACACAACTTACAACTCTGACCCTTAAGTCATGAAACACATTAATCTCAGTGGTGAAGAGAAATCATTAATCTTTTTTTTATTGGTGCTAGATTGTGAATCAGAGGGAAAATATTTCCGTTTTCAGAATAACAGTTCGGTAAAAACAATGCAAAATAAGTATGTCATGAATAATTAAGTTCTTATGTAAAGAACTATGATGGTTCCCATTTATCGTCCTGACCCAAGATGTAACCATCCCATTCATGCCAGGAAATAGTTCTGAGAAGTCTGTGTTGTTTGCCCGTTTACTTGACTGCACACACTGGATCCTTCTGCCAAATCTTATTCTGTCTAAATACTCTTGAACTAGGCGTACATTTTAATGTAATTTTATGATGAACAATACGTAATCTATGCATTTAAATAACAGCGGACATTTTCATATCTGACAGTGTTCCATCGCCACAATCAGCAACATGTAACTATGTTACGTCCACCTGTAAATAATGTCCAGACCACATCTTATGAAGACCTGTGATCAATATTATGAGCACGTCCCATAAAGTCGCCGTTTACTACAAGCATACTACGTTACAAGGAACGTAATCAGAATGCCTCACAAGGGACATTTAGACGAGTACTATCTGCTCATGCGGAATGAAGCAAAATGTGTACAACGTACCGAGTACAATGCACCGTGCTGTACATTGAAAACGTGTTATGTGTGCTCATTCTTCCGTCTGACTCAAGGGTTATATAGGGGAAGCATAATCGCAACACAACTGCAGGCCTTATTGGAGCTTGAAATGTGATGTAAGATGCGAGCCAAGCTCCCCTTATACACCTAAAATGACTCCAGAGCCTCCTTTCACAATGCTCTAAGGTGATCGTAAGTCACTAGGGTAACCTTAGTGTAATGTTAAAGAATGGGACTCAAGGTTAACCTTAGTAAAAAGGAGCTTCGTGAACATTTTGCAACTCTCTGGATCAGACCATAGTGAGGTGAGGTGAAATTGGGTTTAACGTCGTGCTTGAGAATATTTCGCTCATATGACGACGTGCATGTGTGTGTAGCCCAGTCTGAAGCTGGTTTTATAGTGCTAGCCCACTGAGATACCATGCCGCAGTGAAGCATGAATACCCCACTCAGACACATTACACTGACTCCGAGCCGACGAGTCCTTGTTGTACCCATTAATGCAGGCAGGGACCAACAAGTACCATATTTTAACGTCTTTTGATATGACGCGGTCGGGGGTCGAACCCGCGACCTTCCGCTCTCCGGGCGGACGCTCTAACCACTACACCACGGAGGCGGTCCAGACCATAGTATAAAGGCACATAAGGTTGTAGTACCTTGCAAAATGCTATCTAAATATAGCACAAGTCTAAATATAGCACAAGTCTAAATATAGAGCACACCACTGGCCAATACTGAATGTTAACGGGTACAACGTATGACACATGGAACATTGTTACACCGTGAATAACACCGAATAACACAGATACACGACATATTGTAAACATGTTCACTTATGCATTCATATTCATTATACGTCAATCAGATGTCACAAGAATAGCACTAAGCACTCACTGGATTATCCCCCAGGCTGATGAGTAACTAAAACTTTAATACTTTTCCTGTGTATTAATCAACTTCCAAATAGACATGTTCATTGTGACGAATGAAGCTTATTCAAGTGACTTTCCTTTCCAAAGAACATTCTTCCTCATATATGAACATGGGTGAGTGAGTGAGTTTAGTTTTACCCCGCTTTTAGCAATATTCCAGCAATATCACGGCGGGGGACACCAGAAATGGGCTTCACACATTGTACCCATGTGGGGAATCGAACCCGGGTCTTCGGCGTGACGAGCGAACGCTTTGACCACTAGGCTACCCCACCGCCCCTATATGAACATGAACCGATGTAATCCCTTTTCAAGGCTCTCCACGTGACTTGCCAAAACGTGTGCAATTTCTAATTTCATGTGTTGCAAGGTCTGTTTTTATAAGTGAAGTTTTATATTATATGAGAAAATAGATTATATGGGGTTGTGGAATTTTACGTAGACTGATTATGTCTGGCAAAGTAACGATTGTTCACAGATTACGCCTTTCATCTAGCTCGTTTGTATTATAACAGAGTGAATGGAGTAAATCTCATTTCATTTGTGTTTGTATTAAGATGTATTGATGTGACTTGTGGGTCGGCAGAGAACAATGTATGCGTACTAAGCACCGATGATAGTGAATTTGAACTCCGAATCGTAACATT